AACTAAACAGAAAACCTAAATTGATTTAAAAAATGCTACCAACTATCGTAAAATTCAAAAGATAGATTATAAACTACAGAAAACTTACTGTTTGGTGGATAAAAGGATTAATCTATGAGCAGCATAAATATTGTTACATTTTATCGTTATAATGATTGTTGATTTGTTATTGATATTAGACAATTGATACTAAATAGGATGTTAATTTCCGACGTTGCTTCCTTTGAACGGATTTTGTTTTTAATCTAATATCGGACCATCCCGCCTTAATGTTTTTTCCTTGCGTCACGTGTACGCAAGCATGAAAAAGGATTTACGTGAATACAACGTATAGTTAATTCTTCGAATTATCTTTAATAAAACGGATATGAGTATTATAATTGTATTTAATTATGATCATTAATTTTATGATAGAAAAATTGAAATAGAAAAAAAATGTTAGTAAGGCAATCTTTACTTATTTCCGATATATCTTCCTATAAACGGACTTCATGATGAATGACTTTGGGCAAAATATACATAATTAAACGATATTTCGGATTTTAATGAAATCCTGTTAGTGGTAAAAACTCATTGTGCTGCATATAAAAACATTGATATATACCATGAGATGCAAGCAATTGAAAACTGTGATATTGGTCTATAAAATGTATAGAATGTACGTAAAAAAGCGGCGAAAAATACACATTTTTTCACTTTTAATTGCTTTTAAAATTATATGCCATTGCTGTAAACATTTTCGTTTTACGATATGAAAATATAAGACGCTTACCGGATTCCTTTTTGTTATCTAAATCGTTAAGTAAATCTTGATGCGTATCGAAAGAAAAAAAAACGCCAAGAAAACGCTACGATTTTGTAGCACGACGTTACGATTATTTTGTTTGTCGTTCTGATTACTTTCTCGCTCTACATATACAATATATGTACATTGTTTTTATCCTGCAATAATTTATAGCCGGCACTTGAAGCTTTATTTGTTTAAATCAAAATAGTTATCACTGAATTTTCATAGAAATCGACAGTGATTAAACGCGGACCGCGAAGAGGACCCCAAAATAAACTATTACGTAAATATTCACATTACCCCTTGCTCAACATGGAAGCGGTGTAACAGCAGACAGAAGTTCTGTTCTGTTCTGTACAGGTATGAATCCTCCGTTATATTTCGGAGCACTCCTACTTGGGATATAGTTTGAACACTTAACAACTATTTACAAGGATGTTTACAAAGTGTGAAAAGCTGCAATAATTTCATAGTTTTATATACATTATACAGACGAGAACTGTGGATATAAAACAAATATTTATAGGTAGTGTGTGCTATTTACATCATTCGTATAGTTCTACCTAGGTTAAGATTGTAAATAATCTTTTAGTTACTTTGAATGGGATAACAGGAGGTTTTATACCATATGTTTAAAAAGTAAAAATTAGTAAAATTTAAAAATTAAAAAATTAAAAATTAAAAATATAAATCAAATAAAACAAAGAAAAAGGGAATACATTAAGTCATCAAGGTAACAGCTAATGACAAGATAACCAGTAAAAATATCAGTACTATAAATTTATCATATTACTTAACATTTGAAATTATGGTGGCCCCCTGCCAAGGTCTAAGCATATAATTAGATGCAAGCAGCAGATTAAGTCATATAAGTACAAATAAAGCAAAAAATGATTTGTGTACCTGTTATTTGTACAATAGTTGTCTGATTGAAGGATAAAGTCTTGTATCAAGAATAACTGATTACTCCCGAAAAACAAATCCGGTGAATCCCCTTATTTGTGTCACTAAAACGGAAATGTTTACAATATTTCATTTTTAAATAAAATTTCATGAACTAATATCCGATAAATCGTAATTTTGAGTGAAAAAAAATCCACTTTTTTGCCGCTGTTTACGTTCTATACATGTACACTTACATTTAAAGACCTATTTCATCCAACACTGGGTGTCCTCCATCCGGATGGAATCAATAGAAAGAAATAATTAAATTTACAGTCTAATGTTTATATTATGATATTCAGGATTTTGGATTAAAATCAATCGACCAAAACTTACCTGTATTATTACTGATCTATTTTTACACCTTATACAATATATATCAGTATTGTTAAAACTTTTAACACTGAGGAAGGCCATTTGTTGAGCCGAAATATTTGCAATTATTGTATAATTTATATCATCTGTTCAGTTTTTCCATCTTTGTGCGATGATATTCAACACTTTTTAGTGTTTTGTTTTCCATCTATTTATCGGTATTGTTACACAATCTTTTAGACTCATATAATTTTCCCTGTTTGTGTAGTATTGTCAATTTTGATGATCCAATACCTATTAAGTTTACTGGTTGGTAGATTTTATAGACTCTCTATATATATATATGTACAAGTCTAAATTGAAAACAATGTTCACACCTATGATTGCGTTGGATAAAAAACCGCAATTTTTATACGTGTGCATGCAAAACAAATTTCTTTGTAGAGGGGTCTAAATACAGCACAAACAACATTTTCCAAATGACCAAAAAAGTGAAAAAGTATATTTTAACAAAACGCATTTGACTAGCAGGTCGAACAACGGATGTTCTTAAACCCTGCTGACTGCCATTGGCGATTGCCAAATAAACGGATCACCAGATGTAACAAAATGGATCTTAACTATTAATTTAATACCAAAGAGAAAACAATAAACTTGCGGAAAAGATGGTATACCGCAAACAAAAGGTGCAAAAATTAGTACACCATATCCGGATTTCGAAAATTAATGTCTCTTCAGTAATGTGAGGAATCGAAACGGTATTTGGAAGGCCATATATAATTTACCTCAATTAAGAATAGACTCTTGAATTTTGAAGAGTCGAAATAGGATGAACGGATCATTTAAACCCGAAGGCAAATATAATACAAACCCAAACGAAAAACTATAAACAAGTCTAAATTGAAATCAACGTTCACACCTATGATTGTGTTGGATAAAAAACCGCAATTTTCATACGTGTGCATGCAAAACAAATTTCTTGGTAGAGGGGTCTAAATACAGCACAAACAACATTTTCCAAATGACCAAAAAAGTGAAAAAGTATATTTTAACAAAACGCATTTGACTAGCAGGTCGAACAACGGATGTTCTTAAACCTGCTGACTGCCATTGGCTATTGCCAAATAAACAGATCACCAGATGTAACAAAATGGATCTTAACTATTAATTTAATACCAAAGAGAAAACAATAAACTTGCGGAAAAGATGGTATACCGCAAACAAAAGGTGCAAAAATTAGTACACCATATCCGGATTTCGACAATTAATGTCTCGTCAGTGATGTTAGGAATCGAAACGGTATTTGAAAGGCCATATATAATGTATAGACCTCTAAATACGTGAAAACTGTCCGACAGACTTCTCCATCTGACGACATGTGGTTATACAGGACTAACACCATATTTTTTTACTCGAACACACCCGCGAAATCGCGGGCATTTAGAGCGTGGTTGAAGGTATGTAAATTGTTGTAAGATGAGTTTTTATGACTGGAGAAATATAGGAAAGGTATCAAAAGTCAAAGGTACTTGGGGACAGGACAATTTGTTTTTAGCCCTCCCCTTTTTTCCAAAATCCGTTATTTTTTGTTTTCTATTAATTTCAATTATCTTCGCGTTTTTCTGTATACTATGAACATACATATACTATAAATAAAGTGTATTTGCTATCTACCATCAGTTCCAAGTTTACTATCCACGGCGGTCACTAATATATTCAGAGACATATAATACATGTCATACATGTATTATCATGTCTCTGATATATAAATAGAGACTCTCAAGTACCTATGAAAATTATGTGTAATTTTAAACAGTCCTAAACGGAAGTCTTGTCTATAACTTAAAAGTCCGTCCGATGACGGAAACAATATCCGGACACCTTTATTTTCGTTTTCCTCCCAAAATAACCCAAACGGAATAATCAAAGGCGAGGATGACAAATGCGACTCTGCATGGTACCTACAGGACACAGAGGCATGATGATTAATTTATTGTGGAAGGAAGAGAAGCGACACACAAAATGAGATCTTCTGATTGAATAGTATAGATGTATACTTCGTCTCAAATTTAGCCCTACAATGTTATATTTGCAAATTTGCAAATTTGCATATTTTGTTCTTCCCTCAGCGGGATTCAAACCCTTGCTTCTGTGACATTGTGGCAACACCGCCTGCACTGTGTTCAGCGCCCAAAACCACTCGGCCCAACTAGGCAATATAAGAATATAGCTGTCGTTAGTCGAGTGATGCCTTCCCTCGTCGGCTTTATCTTTTGTTGTAACACAGTACATGATGTATAGTGCACGTGCGAAGTAGATGATGTACCTTGCATATCAGTTGTTTTTGTCTGTCGTAAAGGATGATAATCTTGTACTTTATCCAATTAAAAAAACATTCAAATTGAATAGTAAGCAGTCGTGGTTTCGTATGTTTACATTCCCATACTTAATTAGACATGGACGGGTATTTTTGACATCATATTTGATGAAATATGAAACTAATCTTTACCTTCGTGATAACATGCTTTTCAAGGTAAAAAAAAAACCCATGACAATGAGATATGAATATGCATTGCTTTGAACTTAGCAGACACGCCGAGTCGGCTTTGTAACGTGTTTTCTAACGAAGTAAAATTCAAACGTCTTTACTCGGACACATTATTTTGATTCAGAACCGACTCGTCTTTATTCATACCGACCGTGCGAGGGCTTTATAGCCAGTCAAGGTCATCAATTTTAAAGTCTTTGTTTTGAATCAACCATACTAGATCAAACCCAGCACCTCAATAACTCGAGCGAGAACCCTTTCTCGAGACCACCGAAGCAATTTGTGCCAACTGAGGATGAAGTCGGATAACAGTATCCTTTCTATACTCAATACACGTTTGAAATAAAAATTGATGCTTGTCTAATAGTGTGTTTACAACCACTATGAAATTCACATGAAGTAGATATGTAAATGTTTCTATTTATTAATATGTTTATACATTTTCAAACACGCTTGTTAATAAAATATATTATAGTTGTCTAATTTCAATTGTGTTTATTTAAATCATCGCCGTAACGTCAGTTCGGGCTCAGTGGTATCTTTTTAACGAACCAACACTTATCCATTGTATCTACATTATATAGTTTAAACATTCTTCTGGTATGGAAACGTACCTCAAAAGGTGAAAAGGAAAAAAAAACTCATAAAAGAAGTTCATTACGTCTTATTTTGGTGAGTCTCTTTCTGCTACTATACTTTTTGAAAGACGGAATACCAGTACTTTATTTTTGTCCTTGACCACCATCTTGTGATGGGTTTGGGTAAGCAACATTTTGTCCCCTTTCGGACTTAGACACAATTTACATGGCCACTGGAGGCAACTATCCTGTACTACCACACCATCATACCTCCCGTCTTTACCGTTCAGTTGGATGATGGTTTTATGATCGAAGACAGCAACGAGAATTTTATTTCCACAGAAAGCAATACCACGTGGTAATCTTATTTCCTCATGCGTAAATGTCCATAGCTTTAGACCTGTAATGTTCATGCAAATGATAGAACGATTTGGATAACCATCACGTGATACCACGACGCGTTCTGCGGCGCTATCTAAAGCAACAAATTTTAAATTGGTAACGTTTACATTTATTGATGCATCACGAACCCATGAACTACCCTGCCGCTGAAAAATGTACACATTTGAGGTCGAACAGCAAGCCATTTTTCTGTTGTTGAACGATATTGAAAAGCATCGTTCATTCAGAGTTAAAACCTCACCGGCTGTGATTTTTTTACCTTTTATATTGATACGCTCGTGTTTTACACGTGACATTTCGGGAAGACAAACGACAACTTCTTTTTCCGATATAACGGCCAAATCGCCGGGAGAAACTGAAAATTTTGTTATGGCTAGGAAGTTATACTTTTCATCAAATAGTTTCAAGCATTTATTTGATGAGTCTGTTAAGACAATATGACCGGAAGTAAGGATAGCTGCGCCCTCTATGGTACATTCGTATTCTTTATCAATTGCAACGTTAAAATCCCGAAGGAAACGAGCTGTTACCATGGTGTCGCGTTCCCGATTGGTGATAGTCTCCTGGTCTTTAACTTTTGGCTCTCCTAATCGTAATTTTGGAACTGGTTCCTCTTCATCAGAATCCGCATTTGCATGTGTCCCGACGGAAGCGACGGAAGCAGTTTTCATCGGAGAAACACGAGCGACTTCAATTCCTGGTTGAATAGATTGTGATCGTGAAGTTGATACTGCACAGGTTTCTGAGAGTTCTTTGCTTTCCTTGATGTCATCTAGTTTTATTGCCAGTTTATTATCTTGTACTGTTCCCTTTGGTAAAGGTTTGGCAAGTTTACCTCTAACCCTTTCAACAGACAATGACCCAATACTGTCAGCATCGTTAAATGCTTTCTCAATTTCTCTGTTGGCCAAATATTTAATTTTTAAGTCTGTCAAGTTTTGCAATAAATGTTCGAGGTTCTCTTGCCTTTCATCATACGATTTGATATGGTCGTTGTATTTTTCTACAAACCGAAGTGGATTTTTCTCTTCTGTCTTACTCATTTCTGTAATGGCGTTCCTCGCTTTCTGTATGATCTGATGGCAAATATTGATTTCAAGTTGTATACCTCCTAACTCTTTATGCTTAACCTCTGCAATTACATCGAGAACTTTTGTTTCCATTTGAGAAAAGAAATCGTTTACCATTTTCTTCATTTCGACAATTTCTTGTTTGATTTCGTCTTCCTTACTTTCGATTAATTCAACCTGATCTTGACGGTTGTTTAAAATTTTCTCAGTTTCATATATCTGAGTTGATAAGTCATTCGTCAAAACGGAAACATTTTCTCGCCTTTTTCTTACAGCGTCAGCAATCGAATGGACCTTTCTGCAAGACTTATGCGACTGATTAGAGCAAATTGAGCAAGCAAATACTTCGTGATCCTCACAGAAAAATTCTACTTCCTTGTCAAAATGCTTTGGACATTGTGATGGAGACGTATTCTCGACTTCATTTAAAGCGGCCAGTATGTTTGATAACGCGTCGTTCGTTGGAAGCATAGAAGACCAGTCTTCTGGTCTTTGTCCAACAAATTCAGACAGACTCGTCTGTTTTCGACATGTTGGACATTCAAATCCTCTTGGTTTGCTTTCGGTTTTGTTGATCTCGACGATGTGGTTACTAATACACTGCTTACAAAAAGAATGCAAGCATACCAACGTCTTAGGATCTTCAAAATTGTTTTTACATAATGGACAAATCAAGTATTCCTTTGCAGCTTTTAGGGCAGTGGCCATTACAATATATCCTATAAATAAAAGTAATACGAAATTGTTATATATACCAAGAATGCATTATGATTTTTTTTTCAGTCAAGGGTTGGGAAATAGGTTTAGATACTAAGATATAAGTTAAGCATGCTGGTAAAGTTAACCTTGTATCCAGTTTGTTATTTGAGCAAATGGGAGTTGGAAATATAAGTTAATTATGCTGGTAAGCTTAAGCTTGTATCCAGTATTTTATTGGGATTTAAGTTTCTTAGTGATGATTTTGTTCAATTTTAGTCATGTTGCTAGATTAAGATATCACTGAAACCCTTCAAAAAGTTCAAAATGTCAAAGCGCTACTGTAACAACGTTTACAAAATGAGATAAAATAGGACTAAAAAACCAACAAAAAGCTAAACAAATACACACCCCACCTTCCTAAATTGAAAAAAAAATCAACAAAAAGACACAATGCACAACAAATGGAACATAAAGTATTTGCACTAGACTTTAGTCTTGTAGAAAATAGATTTCTTTGTCATCTGAAATGACAATTATATTGAAAATAGACATAACAATAATTCAATTATGAGCAGATGTAATTTCTCCTTTATCTTTTGATAAGAAAAGGTTGTTTTTGAGATCATTAAAGCTATGACATCTGCGACGTTAATACTTTTTGAACAGTACAAAATATGTTAGCAATATTGTGAATTAATGAGTATCTGGACGACATCAATTATTATACAGAATAATAAAAAAAAAATCTATTTGAAGATCCCATTATTGTTTTGACAAAACAAAAAAATAACAAAGAATTCAAGTTTTCAATATGATAAAGAAATATTGCGGTCAACTCGACTTATAACCGAAACTTGTTTACGGGTGTGGGAAGTGCGACCATATATAAACACAAGCTTTATGACATTGTTTTCCATCTTTGTTTATTTATATATATTATTTTGAGAAAAAAGCGATTATGTTTGTGAAATAGAGAAGACAATTCGAAGTTGTATAATTTGTGTCCAATCCTTTTGTCATGGATCATTCCGACAATAAAATAAACTAAAAATTCAATAAAAAGTAACAATTTTTAACATCTCTGAAGAAAGCAGTATGAATTTCAACTGTAATTAGATTCAAATGTACCTGCAAAATTGTTTTGATTCAATTCACACATGTATGATATGAGCAGCGTAATGAAAGTCGAACTTTTATACGTGTGGTGCAACATTACTTGTGACTTCTTTAAACTAAATAATTTATTTTTCATCTCAACTTCCTATTCGACATAAATGTATTGCACATTGATAACCTTCAACGTGATATGTTTCATGTCGTTCAATGATACTACGGTATTACAATCTGTCGATCGTTTGGCATTTTGGCATTGCACAAGGTCATGTTTTTCTCTGACTGTTAATGACGTCTTTACACTAAATCCATTGGATGTTGGATGTGCACTGATTGATATTTTAGTCTTAGATACATGATTTGTTTTATCAGTTGTTATTGGCTTTGAACTAGCTGTCAGTAACTGCGAGTACTCTCAGATCTGTACTTAGTGTTCTTTTTGTTGTTAGGGATGAGGGATGGATAAATACCCTGCCACGTCCGGTCTGTGTTTATGTTTGATGTTTTTTCTGCTTTGTATCGATCTGATGAGTTTAGCCTTTTTCAACTGATTTTTATAGTTTGTTCTTATGTTGTGCTGTTACACCACTGTCCCAGGTTAGGGTAGGGTTGAGCACTCACAAACATGTTTAACCCCGCCACATTCTTTATGTGCCTGTCCCAAGTCAGGAGCCTGTAGTTCAGTGGTTGTCGTTGGTTCATGTCTGTCATATTTGTTTTTCGTTAATTGTTTTGTTATAAATTAGTCCGTTATTTTTCTCAATTGAATTGTTTCATATTTTTCGTGTCGGGGTTATAGTCGACTATACGGTATGGTTTTTTTCTCATTGTTAAAGGCCGTATGGTTGCCTATAATTTCTTACATCCACTTTATTTGAATTTTGGTGGATAGTTGTCTCATTGGCAATCATACCACTCCTTATTTTTATATATACCATAACAAATTTAAAACTGTCTCCTTGTCAGAATACTTCATAAGGTTTTAATTTTTTTATTTATTTGCATTTGATTATGACAGTTTCATAATTATGAAATTACTTTTTAACTTTTACTTCTATATATTAAGTTAAAAAGGAAACTTAAATATGTCAATAAGAATTTAACTTACATTAAACTTTTAAAATTACGTCTAACTTTTCATTCCTTATATAATTGTTCGCTCAATACAAAATGTGAATTCTCATTGTTTAAATAGTATTCAATTTATAAATCTTCGATGCAGAAGGGTGATTTTTACATGATTTAAATTTATTTTCCTTTTAATTTATGTATTGTCTTCAAGTCTTTGTATTTTGATTGTTTAAGGAATTTTCTTTTTAACAATTATTACAAAAGACATCCGATCACCCATTACATGGCTGTGTACTACGTCAGTAGTGTCTGCTTTCAACGTCATGATACATGTACATAACAGAATGTACCGATGGCAGGTTTTCTATACAATTTGATATGTAAAATATTGTCTGCGAGTCACAATATAAAGTTTTTTTGTCGAGTAAGAACAGCGAACGAGTTCAAAAAGTCTTCATATATGTCGAGCAATTGATATTTTACGATAATATATCAATATACTCGGTTTAACGGATTGTTTTTTGGTTGTTTTCATGATAGAAACATAACGTTTTCTTTGTTTTTTTTAAATCAGAAAAGGGCTTGATAAATTAGGACCGAATTTATGAGCAAACAGCTATCAGTAGATAAAAGTAACTCTAAAAAGTTCCCCTGGGAAACAAGCAAGTACTGCATTTTCATACGTAATAATGCATAAATATTTTACCTTTTTGTGAAATATTCCCCTGGGGAACACATAATAAAAGTTATCGTTTAGTTAAATGTTCCTCTTGGGAAGGTTAAGTGGCAAATTTGTCATTCATGTCTAGGACTAGAACCCATGAATAATAAATTCAATTGGTAAATTGTGTGATGGCTTGGTCGAGATAAAGAAAGGGAATGTCCACTGTCGCTAAAAAGTGATGACCAGTATGTTGGACAGATATGTTGCCTTTCAACAGGCCGTTTACAGACCCTTCGAGGAGTTCTTAATGTGCAGAAAGCGTAATGCCCTACCTATATGATTCATCAGAATGTATGCCCCCATTCAGAGAGGATGCAAAATTATACACCAACCCGCATAGCATAACGAATTTCCTACTGACCACGAGTTTTACTGGTTGATGGGAGGAGTCTATCTATTTTTCTATACACAAGTCAGCCTTGTGATGGAATTATTTGGAAAACAATTAACAGGTATAAACAGATCGCCATGCAAGATAAAAATCAGGAGATATGGTATGTTTGCCAATGCGACAACTATCCCCCAGAGTTCAAATAAGTTGAGATATGAGGAATTATATGTCACCGTACGGCCTTCAACAATTAGAAAATCCCATACCGTATAGTCGACTATAAAAGGCCTCAACATGAAAAAATGTGAAAAAATTTAAATGATAAGAAAAACCAACGGACTAATTTTTAACCAAAATAATTACGAAAAATATGACAGACATGAACCAAAGCCAAAACCACTGAACTACAGGCTCCTGACTTGGGAAAGTGACATGAAAAATGTGGCAAGGTTAAACATGTTTGAGTGCGCTCAACCCTCCCATAACGTAGGACAGTGGTATAACAGCACAACATAAGAACACATTGTAAAAATCAGTTGTAATTAGCTGAACTCAAAAGATTGGTACAACTGACAAAAAAACTAACATAAAAATAATAGACAATAAGCATCGATATAAGAGTACTCGCAGCCCGAAGCCAATTACAACTAATAAATCATGTTCTCCCAGACTAATGTTTCATTATGATGGAAAGGCAGGATTATCTTAATCTTCATGGCTTCAAAATAATCTCTAGTCGTTACAATTTGATGACGATCTGCTTCAGACTCTGAAAAAAGCAAAGAGATGGAAGTTGACCTAGTAATCCTGCTAATGTTACTTTGAATCTTGGGGAATACAGGAAATAACAGTAGATATTCCTTTCTGGGCTGTTTGCAAAAACCTTAGTTTTCGAAATTTTGTGTTTTATTCAATTTTTTTTTAAAGAGCTGAATGTTATAGGGTATCACCAAGCCAGTAGTCAGCACTTCTGTGTTGACAGTCACATGAATTATCGTTAATATGGTCATACATGTTATTATAAATTAACTGTTAACAAAACTTTAAATTTTTCGAAATGCTTAGGATGTTCTTAGTTTAAACATATTTTATTGTCTAAATATACAATAGGATTGGATACAAGTTATAACAACATAAAATAATCCTCCCCAAATAAGTTCAATATACAAAATTTCAAGATGACAGCAATTATATAATTCAGTACAATATGAAAAATATATACAATAAATATATTATGTTTAAACAGTAACAGCTGGATACGAGTACACTTTAAGATACAGCAATATTAATCAAAGAATCGTTTTGTATGGCGTATATAACTATGTATATTTCTGAAAAGAATTGTGTTTTGTTCAACACTAATTTCGTCTGTTCCAAAAAAATATGTTCTATGGAAATAGCAACTAAGTGTTGTATGTTTTCTAAAATTCATGTAGAGTGGACATTCTAAGAAGAAATGAATCGAATCTTCTAATGGACACCCATATTCACAACTTGGGTCATTTACTAAATTAACTCTATAGAAATCCGCTTTTTAAGGACTACATCTGTGTCGTAATTTTGTATGCAATATATTTTCCATCCTGTTTCCAATGAAATAATATTTAGGTACCAAAAATGAAATATCATTTCGCCGGATTGTGTTTTTGAAATTTGGAGTAGATTGAATGGATCTAATATCTAACGGCAATAAATTCCATGCACGAATTGAAAAAGGGAAAATAGATTTAGAAAATATGTCCAATCTACATCTCGGTACTCTATAGTGAGAACGGTTTCTAGTATTATAATAATTATCATCTGTATAATCCGAGATACAATCCATAAGATATTCTGGAACATTATTATTATGTATTTTATGAAATAAACATAATTTACGTCTATTTCTTCTAGAACTCAAAGTTTCCCATCCAGTTTCAAAAAGTAGGGACTCTTTACTTGCAAATTGCGGAAGTCCAGTAATTATTCTGGCAGCCTCAAGCTGCAAGCGCTCAATTTTTTTCAGAATCTCTAACACAGCATCCATCCCATAGCTCGCATGCATATTCTAAAAGTGGAAGTATGTATGCGAGATATACCTTACTAAGATTGTTTCTGTTAAGAATATATTTAAATTTTCTGAGAACAAAAATCTGTTTAGTGGCACTACAGCACATATTATCTATAGTTACTGACTACTTGCAATTATTAGAAAAAGTAACACCCAAATGTTTGTGGTCATCAACTTTTTTATTAAATTGTCCATTGAATTTCAAATTAATAGACTGGGAATCCTTACGGAAATTATTTTTGAGGATTAAAATCTACAAGCCATTGTTTTGACCAATTATTTTGTTATATAATATATATATATAAGTTTCTAGATCCATATTTATTCTCCTTTCTATATCTATAGCATTATTCAAAGAATACATATTAAGTGAACTATCATCGGCAAAAAGTCTAACTAAACATTGAATGTCATCTGCTATATGTCATTTATAAACATAAGAAATAATAAGGGCCCAAGTACTGAGTTTGGGCACACCTGCTTTTAATGTTCCAAATGAGGATTCTGAATTTTTGAGAAGCACTTATTGTTTCCTATTACTTAAATAATTTTCAATCCAACCCAATAATTTGCCTTTTATGGATGTTCTACCCCAAGAATGGATTATCTTATAGCTTTCGGAATTCGGGGTCCTCAATGCTCTTCAACTTTGTACCTTATTTGGCCTTTTAAACTTTTTCATCCGAGCGTCAATGGTGAGTCTTTTGTAGACAAAACGCGCGTCTGGCGTACACAATTTTAATCCAGGTATATATGATGAGTTTATTGGATGGTAAGTCTTTTACAAGATGTGTTACAGAATTTAACAAACAATATCAAATTAAGTGCATGTGAGAATTGTAAATAATTTAGTCGTATCAATTTTTAATTTATAAGACTCTTAAATTGCATGCTGTTGATATGTAATTATCACACAATAAACCGCTCTGTTGAAACGTTCAACGGATAGGTGTTTGCGAACATTTCGTTCTATGTAACCATTTTAGGCATTTTTCAAAATGCCTATCAATTATTCAATTTAATTTAACAGTCTGAGAATGTCTGAGTCTTGCAGTAAAATTTACTAAAATTCCTTAACTTTTCATCCGTATTACATAAATTTTTGTCTACATTTAGAAAATGCATATGATAATTAATTTTTACCAGAATTTTGGTTTCTAAATGACATCTCTTGAAATTGGAATAGAACTTTTTATTTCATTTTTTCAGCAATGTTATTTGGTATGTGCACTCCTCCTAATTAAACTCCTATCCAAATTTATCAAGCGGTATTCAAAAAGGTTTTCTGTACAATAAGCGCTCTGGAGAAAGTATTTTTTTACAGTTTAGGCTTGCAAAGTGAATAGACTGTTTTGATTTTTCATTAATAATATTGGGTTTGTCGAGGATAATCCATTAATGAGGGGGAAAAGGAAGGGGGGCACGAGGATTTTTCCCAAATCCAGCTATTTTTGTTATTTTTTTCAACTTCCATTTTTTTTTTACTTCTTTTCTTTTCCCCAGATCCCACCTTTTTACCCCATATATTAACATCCCCATTGATAACCCCTTCATCTCACATCCCAACTATTGTTTGCCCCCTATATCCCACACCCATAAAGCACGTCATCCTCTCATCAATGTGCAGTTTGGGAAGAATAGGTTGGCCTTGACATCTTTGTACTTGTTTTCCCTTTAGTTAACTCTTCGTGATTACCAACTAAAATATGAGGGTCTGGATGGGGTTTACAGAATAGAGAATAATTGGCAAAAAGTGCAGAATAAAGGGGAAAAAAGGGAATAAAGAAAAATAGACAAACAATAAATTATTAAAGAATAGAAAATAATAGGGTGCTAAAATAAAAAGAATAGAGAAGAATGGGGTGCTAGAATAAGAAGAGAAGATATTAATGGGGAAAATAAATAAGAACTGAGCAAAATGGTATAAAAACTTGAAGAATAAAGAAATGAATGACCCCCATCAAGACCATCAAATATTCAGTTTCATTTTATGGCTTAATCCTTTTGAT